AAAAGGATGCTGAATTTTATCAAATGCCTTTTCTGCCTTTTTTCAGAGGATCATACAGTCTTTGTTTTTGCTTCTATTGATATGATGAATTACATTTATGGATTTGCATAAGTTAAACCAGCCTAGTATCCCTGGGAGGACGCCTACTTGATCATGATGTATAATTTTTTTAATGTGTAGCTATAATCTATTAGCTAAGATTTTGATGAGTATTTTTGCATCGATAGTCATTAGGGAAATTGGTCTGTAGTTCTCCTCTTTAGTTGGGTCTTCAGTTTTTGTATTTTCAGTAGAGATGGGGTCTCGCTCTTGCTCAGGCTGGTCTCAAACGCCTGAGCTCAAGCAGTCTACCTGCCTCAGCCTCCCAGAGTGCTGGGGTTACAGGCGTGAGCTTGCTGCTCTGTTCTTGAGGGTCGCCCACACTGTAGCATTATCAGCTCTTCATTCTTTTTGTGGCCGTGTAACATCCCCTCGTTCTTCTCTCTCTGTTTACCATTTGCAGGCACTTGGGTTGTTTCCAGTTTGGAGTGGTTAATGGTTGGTATAGCCGTGAACATGTACTTGGCACAAGTCTGTGTGGATGTGTTTTCCTTCTGTGTGGGTAGACTCCTAGCGTGATGGCTGGGCTGTGAGCAAGTTGATGTTTTGAGGAACTGCCATTTTTCCAGAGAGGTTGCCCCATTTTGCATCTCCAGGGCTGTGTGAGAGAGCTCGTGCATCTCCACATGCTCACCAGGGCTGGTTACAGTCTGCCCCAAGAGGCCCCATGCCTTGATCTTAAGTGATGTTGGACACTGATTGGGATCAGAGAAGAGCAGCAACAAGCCGAAGATAAAATCAGTCTGGCCAGTATCTGTAGTCCCAGCTACTCGGGAAGCTGAGGCAGGAGGATCACTTAGGGCCAGGAGTTCAAGGCTGCAGTGATCTGTGATTCCATCACTGTTCTCCAGCCTGGGCAACATAGCTAGACCCCATCTTTGGAAAAAAAAAATAGAGCTCAGTAGACCAGACCATGGTCAAAGATGACAGTGAGAGTCACAGAGGTCCTCTGATGATATCTGAGAAGACCCACCCCTGGGGGGTAGGTTGCAGTACAGAGGTAAGGAGCTGAGACAGGAACAGCTGGGGACGTCCTGCTGGTCCATCCAGGGGGTGACAGTGGACGTGGAGGAGGAGAGTGAGGAGGGAACAAGCACTCCTCCTTTGGGCAAGTTAGGTATACCCCACCTCCAACCCTGCCAAGGGTGGGCAAGAAGGTTCCCGTGGCCATCGGCTGCACCGACTACAGCATGAGCAGGGCAACACTTGGTTCTCAGCAAAGATAGTGTGCAAGATGGTCACTGACGCTGCAGGGAGTGCTTGATGACTGTCCCAGCTGGGTTGAGCCTTCCCCAGTCCCCACTCCCAGCACTTCCCTGGGATGGACGTTCAAGGCAGTTTCCCTTTTTTATTTTGGCCGGGGCTGGGTTTAAACCCGCCACCTCTGGCATATGGGGCCAGCGCCCTACCCTTTTAAACCACAAGTACCACCCATAAATTATCTTTTTTTTTTGCAGTTTTTGGCCAGGGTTGCGTTTGAACCCGCCACCTCTGGCATATGGGGACAGCGCCCTATTCCTTTGAGCCACAGCTGCTGCCCTCAAGGCAGTTTTCTGGTCAGACCTCCAGGTTGCCGTCCACGAGGCCTGCTGTCCACAGTTCTCCTGAGGCCCCCACTGTGTCACCTCACTCCCTAGGGAGATAAGCAGCGCCCCCCACCCCACCCCGCCCAGTCTGCTGAGTGCAGGTAGACAGTACTCTGTCAGAGCAGCAGACACGTTTCTCGCCAAGTCCTGGCAGCCCAGGGGGACCAGGACAGCGTCCGGCTGTGACTGCCATTTCCCCCTCAGTCATCTGTTTTTCCACACCCCCAGCTTCTTGTTGTTTACTTCTCTGGTGCTTTAAATAACTACACAAGGGAACAGCCAGCCTTGAAGGATGTTGGGGTCAGCTGGAGCCGAGGCCCAGGCTTTATCACGGCACTGTCCTATGCTGCTTCCACCCTGCAGAGCACACCCTTCTCTCTGGAGTGGCGCCAGCCTAGGGAGGGTCTTTCCACTGGAGCCACTGGCGGGGACCACCCTGAGGGCTGAGTGTGCAGTGGCTGACATGCTGGTCATGTGCAGTCTCTGAAAGGCCAACCTGGACATGTCAGGGGCCAGCACGGTTGGATCACTGGGGAAGGTGGCTCGCTCTGGGAGAGCAGGGACCACATGGGGGTTCTCTGCCCTGGGAACATCGGAGGCAGTGTTAACCTGCTGGGGGTGGTGCAGGCTGTGAAGCAGACTGACCAGTCACACTTTACTCAGCATTTCCAAACTTGGGCCACAGGAAACCAGCCACTCAAGGAAGTTCGGTTTTGGGGGGCTTTAGAGGAGACAGACACATTGGAATTCCCGTAACGAACAGGCTCGGGGGTGGGAGGTTTCCCATACACAGACAAGAAATTGGAACCCGGGGTGGTGGGAGGCTTTGGCCTTGGCCAGCCACACCGTGGGGCGGAGCTTCCATCACAGCCTGGTTAAAGGCAGACGAGGCTGCGTGCTCCCAGTCAGCCTCTGCCTGGCCTCTCACCCAGCATGCGAGAGTCACCCCGGGCTGCCATGCAGGGCCTGCTTCGCTACTTCCATCCCTGCCGGGCGTGCCGGAGCCAGGTAGCCTCAGCCAAAAAGCACCTGTGTGCTCGTGGCACCACCCTGTGGACTCACATCCGAAACCTGGTGGGCAAGGGCAAGGTGGGCCAGCACATGGGTTTCCAGAGCGGGCTGGTGGAGGGTGGAGGGGTCCTGTCACCTGACATCTCTAACGGCTTCTTTTTCTGTCCCTCCACCACCCGCTGCACAGCTGCTCATTGGCTACTTTTGCTAGTTCTGGATTTTAAGGGAGGAGGCGCCCTGTGGTTGCCATTCTTAGGAGGGAAAAGGAAGCATGTGTCTTGCTTAATCTGCTCCGGGGTTTCCCTTGTCTAAGGTTCACAGCGGTGGTGTTACACTCTCTTTCCTTGGGAGAAGGAGGAAGCACGCTCTATCCCCTTCCTTGGGCAGCGGGGACATGGAAGTTGGGGATGCTGGGTCGCAGGTACATACCCCTTCCCCTTCACGCCTGGTCTGGTCAGAGCCAGGAGGGGCCGTGTCATTCTCTCTTGCCTCTGCCTAGAGCTCCTTGTTGGGGGGGAATTGTGCTTTCCTGAGTGGTTTGTGCCTGACTAGTGCCCACTCACAAACTCTGCTTCTTAGGGTGGGGGCCCCAAAAGCCCAATGTGTGGCTTCTAAAAATCTCCTGGGCCAGACACAGAATGAGAACTTGAGACCACAGAGCCCCTGGAGGGAGACAGTGGCCACCCTTTACTTTTCTGTGTTGTTCTGCTGGCTCATTCCAGATGCTTGGGAGACACTAACCAGTAGGACCTAGAAGGGGATAGGAGAAGGGCCCTGGGAGTGCCCATGGCGAGCCTCCACCCTGAGCAGGCAGAGGGAGAGGAGCCCAGGGGCACACACCTGTGCAGTAGTGGCAGCCGCCTTCTTGGTGTCGCACCCAAGCTCCTTCCAGCCGCTTTGCCTGACAAAGGCCCATGTGACTGTGTCCTCTTGGGTCCCTTGCAGCAGTTAAATGTGTAATGTCTATGCTGAGCTTCTCTGTAGACCTGGCAGTATGCTTGGCAGCATTGCGTACACACGCACGCACACACACACACACACACACACACACGTGCAGAAACCATGAGGGGTGGTCCCGACTCTGAAGTGCCTTCTGTAATAGCAAAAATGAACCATCGGCTGAACCAGTCAGGGGCATTATGCAAATCTCAGATCTGGGTACAAACCCACCCAGACTGCAGGTCTAATTCTCTGCAGGTGGAACCCAGGGAGCTTGTATTTTTAACAAGACCCCCAAAGGTGCTGCCTATTCACCCAGCCCAGCCAGTGGTCTCGGCCACATGCAGACAGCGCTGATGTAGAAGGGTTACCCGTCAAAAGGGGGTGACAGATCCTCCACAGTTGGAGCCACGCAGCTTGACCATGACGGCAGGGGCGTTTTACAGCAGCCACGCCATGTAGGTGACACTAAACAGCAACTTCCAGCAGACCAGCTGCTGGGACAGTGCTCTGTGGGGTGGATGTTAGAGGGTCACAGAGGGGCTTTCCTGTGACACCCCCCCACTAGCTGCATGACTTAGGGCAAGAGAAACTAGTGTCCACAATCCCCCAGAAAGCGGGCTTGGCGCCTATAGCTCAACCGGCTAAGGCGCCAGCCACGTACACCTAAGGTGGCGGGTTCGAATCCCCAGCCC